TATGTTCACCCTCCCACCCCACCAAATTCCCAAGCCCTGCACTGCTGGCTGCTACTGGTCCATGTCCCCTCCCCTGCAACTGGATCAGGGCAGGCCATGCCCCCTCCCCAGGAGTTGATTTCACAGAGGAGATGGAATCCATCTCTTTACTCTTCTGTGAAATATGAAACACAATAACCAGAAGGAAATGTGACTACATCCTGCTTACCACCAAACAACTTCGAGGTCAACAGATTATTCCAATTTTTCTCTGAGCCTAATCTGCATATAAAATGAACTGTTCCAAGCAGGAGATTTTATCACACCTTCAACTCTCCTGTGAAATATGAATTTTCATTTCTACCCAGGAGAACTTGTACCATCTTTTCTCCTATGCCTGAAGAAGGGTGTTGTGCCTGAAAGCTTGCAATTAAAGAATTTTTTTTTGCAAAAATCTAGTTGGTCTAAAAAAAGATATCACCTCTACCATGAGTTCTGATTCTTGTGAAATCCATGTAATTTTCAGTTTGGTTGGTAGCATTGTGTTGTAATACGTGCCTTTACACAGCCGTTGGAAAAGATCAAAATTGTTCTCACTACGGATCAGACAGATCATCTCCTGAATGTATGAATCAGGTTAATTACAATTAATTTTTAGACTGAAAACATTTTCTGTTAGTTCATGTACTGTACTCACAGCTTCAGTAATCTGTGCTGGTGGCATGAATAGCCAACTTTATCACAAGACATGCCCCCCCCGCTGCCCCCTAGTTTCTTATTGGCCACTGTGTTATCCATTTTATGGAGCCATTTATCTGGTGCCATAGGTCTTCCAGATCTCACCTCCCCAGCCACATATCTAGTTCTAGATATGTCTAGGTCCCCCCAACCCCTGCTTCTTTGGCATGCCATCATTGGAAATATTTATAAATTGTCCACTCACCAGAACACTTCTACAGCTGCATCTCCAATTGAAGCTTTGTAAACCACACATGCAACCCCCACACCTGCCAGCCAAAAGGCATTTGCCAGGCTTTGAATTGATTGTATGCACAGTTAATGAATGATAATTTATTGTGGCCTTTGTATTGTGAATGGAAATTTATATGCTTGTGGTTCCTATTTCCAATGAATTTCATTCCCTTCCCTTCCCTCTCCTTATACCAATATGCCAAACCCTCTTCAAGAAAAACTCTGCACTGTTTTGCTCTGCTCATTCCCCCAAGGGTGAAAATCTTACTTTGCCCAGCAGCCAACATTCTCTTGGTGTCCAAACTTGGGGCTCCCCGGGCCACACACTCAGTTTCCAAGTCATGGTAGGTGAAGCTAGGCACCCCTATGGGTGCATCTGATCCTGGCTAGCCCACAAACCAGTATCACCCTGTGGCCCATGTTGCCGTAGCTTGCCCACACGTCTTGCAATCTTCTCTTAGGGCACTGTTGGGGGAAGCTCACAGCTTCAGGGCACTGTTGAGGGGAAGTTCACAGCCTCAGGACACCGTGGGGGGAAGCTCACAGCCACTCACCTTTTTGAGGTCCTCATAGCAGAGGAAGAGCACGAGGTGTGGCACCCATGCCCACCACAAGCCCCCTCATGTACTTATGCCATGACTCCTAGGCCACTGCAAGGAGAAGAGATCTGGGGACGCTCTCTAGGGGTTTGGGGGCTACAATGCACCTGGCTCTGCATTGATGTAATGGCTACATATAACAGTGTGTGGGGAGGGCTGAGGTACGCCCACTAGACCCTTCAAGCAAACCATGCTGACCCTAGGCCACATGGCAAATTTCACTCTGTGGGGATACTTCTCTGTGGTCGTTAAGATAGAATACTATAATACTTGTTTAAGTTAAGGTTGCCATTTGGTAACCATCCAACTATCCAGAGCAAAAAGTCAGATCTTGTTCTAAATTGTGCCTTCACTTTTTTCTGAGTCCTATCTTAAAGGTTTTCTTCTCTGTGTTTATCTTTGAACTTAACTTTTGAAGTACTTCAGCAAACTTGGATGGGATTAAGCAACTAACTCATTAGAAGTGCTTAAGTGCTTTGCCTACTTAAGGTCTTTAAAGTATTCCTTTTTAAAGATATCATAGAATCACAGCCATTAGATATGAAAATATTTCCAGTGTTTGGACCTTTAATCTAGTGGTTCTCAACTTTTTTTGACTCAAGGCATTCCTTGAAAAGTGACAGCTCTTAGCTTTCAATCATTGTTTAACCACAGTAAAATAATAAAAAAATTTTTGTTGCAAAGAATTCAGAAAAACCACTACAGGTCAGAATATTTTTAGCACTACGGATTCCTATTTGATATTTCTGAGTTTATCTTGTGACTCACTTAATAGTGCTAATATTGCACAGCACTCTGCAGTACCCTTAATAGGATCTCAAGGCACCCTGGGATGACATAGGACCCTGGTTGAGAATCACTGTCCTAGTCTTTCACCTTAATGATGTATGGCCACCTCCCAGGACATCCTTTAAAAAGTATCCTAGTTTAGATTTGACCAGTACAAGTCATCAGGGTGTCCAATTCCTTCCTTGGTCCTCTAATCTAGACTCTACTATTTTTAACCTAAATTTTTCTTTGCTCCCTTTCAGTTTATTACTTGCAGTCCTAAACCTTAATTGCTATCTGAAAATGATTTCCCTTTTAGTTGATGACACAGTCACCCTAACGTATATCTTTTGAATGATGTAGACACCAATGCTTAGGGATTGCCTCCATAATGACCAGTGTAATGCATTTGGCCCTTCTTCCGTACTGTAGAAAGTCATCTTTGCTGAATGGCCTGCCATTCAGGTGCCATTATTGTAGAAAGCATTAGTGAACAAGAGGGTAAAACACAACCAATGCAAAAGCTAGCTAACCAGGTCTTATAAAGGAGGTTGTATGTGTACCAAAAGCCATAAGTAAAAGTCACTGTGTCTTCTAGTTCTTCAGGTTTGACAAGGATTCTTGACTTGAGGGTATCAATCCAGCACACCCACCTAGAACTAAACCTCACTGACAGGTAGGGCTCCTGGCTAAACTAATGAGGAAAGGCATGCCTGTCTGACTAACTTAGTTCCAGGTGGTGGTTTGAACTGATATCCTAAAAACAAGAATTCTGGAGTAGGCCAGGCCAGGCTGGAAACCTCTCTAACAATTTGCGAAAGGAGAAGAATTTCTGGTGAAGGTGGCACGTTCCTGCTGCAAAACATACGTTATTATATCAGTGTACGTTTGAATTGAAAAATGCCAAAAAATATTCATTTCCAAGTTTGTGGGTGTTTGGGCCTGAAATTTTTATTTCATTTTAGATCCTTTTATAATCAGATCATACTCCACAGGCTTGTGAGGGCATCAGCTGGCCTAGGAGAATATCTACATCCATAAGTGATATATGCAGATAGAAGGGCTCCAGCTGTCTAGCTGTTTTCTCAAGGTGTTTATCACACACCTTGGGACTATGACATTTTACTGGATTCATTACTTGTTCCAGGTCTCAGGACTCAGTCTACAACAGTCCTTACCTATAGCTGGTCTCCTTGGTAATGATGTGTTTGGAAACAGGTCTGTATGTTTGTTTTTAGATACACTGAAGGGGTGAGAGGGGCAAATAGTCTCTGCAACCTCTTTTCTTGTAGGGCAGGTACACTAGATAGGCCAGAATTTTGTCCTTAAAATGAGGAATGGTCTATTTTAATATTGGCTGCTACCCTTCTCCTTCCACATTTTCCCTTCCTTTTCCCTGGTGTATCTTAGAGGATTAAGGGCAACAAGTTAAGATGTCCTTATGAAATGTTAAACTTTGCCTTTGTTATGGATGACTAATAATAAGGATAAACCTGGATTTTCTTCCAAACAAAGTATATATTGCTTTATAACAGAGGAAATTACCTTCCCTACCTCAACCCCTGCTAAAATCTTCAGAAAATGATCCCATCCACGCAGCAGAGATTTGACAGTTCTTCCCAGCTCTGCTACTATTTCTGTGGCTGCTGTCACCTTTCATTATAGATTTAGAATAAGCCCTTACAAGGCTGTGTGCTCTGGGAAAGTGTGAAAAAGCCTCTTTTCTCAGTCTACAAATGTCTTTCCCTCTGCATGAACACTTTCTCCCTCTGCTCATTAATATATAAGGCCAAACATTGGATATCTCTCTCTCTCACTCATTAGGAGTAGGGAACAAATCCTGTAGCCCTTACTCTTTCAAAGTATGGCAGCAAATCATAGAAAATTAGGGTTGAACAGCCCTCACCTCCAAGCCACGGCCACATCAAACCACTCGTTTTCTTGGTAAAGGTTTGTTTGGAAATAGGGTTACATGTCCCATGACACCCAGACTTGTCAGAAAAGGACATAAAGGGGAGCCACAACCAGCCATTTCAATGTCTGTATATAGTTAGATTCCTGGCCTTTTATGGAAAAAAAAGATAATTGCATCCCAAGCCAGCCTTTTGGATGGTGACATTTTGTTGTTCATTGTATTATTAAAAAGTGGAGGGAAAAATAGGATAAATATTTCTTTCAAAACTCATCTAAATTCAAAGTTTAGTTTTTACTTTGAACATACTAGCCAAAGAAGAGCAAGGAATAGTACATATGAATTTAAATTAATAAGATAGGGTGTGCAGCTGATCTTGTGTATTTACTATTTCAATGTAGTGACTCGATAATAATTCTACTGTCAACTAGCCAGACAGCTTTATTGCACCAAAATAATTTTCACAATTATTTTCTATAGTCTTAGTTAGGGAGGAGTCTGCTGTGAGGAAAGTTAAGCCTTCCCTGGGGATATGCCAAAACGTATGTGAATTATATATGTTAGGTAGCAGATAACTGAGATTAGGACAGGATATGTATTAAAGCTCATTTGGTAGAAGAATATGAATGGCCATTGGATTCAAATGATAGGCAAAACCTGATGCTCAGGGAACAGCTTTAAAGAATGGCTCTAAGTCCTCCCTTGCTTATCTGCTGAATATTGCTTTGACAAATATGTGTTTAGACCAGTGATTAACGCATCATCATTTATCCTATCATCAGGTATTCCTGAGAATACAGCAAGTATCAACGCACAGCCAACCAATGGTAAGACTTACCTTTACAAACTTATTCATAATCAAATCTTGGCAACAGACACTTTAAATGACTCTGTTTTACAGCAGAAGTTTCCTTTTTTCTGGTGTGATGCTTTGCTGTAAATCCAGGCTTGTCAAGCAGGTGGAAACCATTTCTGCAGCTGGCTGAATAGTAACATGATGAATTACTGCAGTGATATGTCAGTGGAGACGGCAGAGCTGAATCATTGAGTGCCCAAGAGGAATAAGTGAGGGATTCGATCACCAAACACTGGCATTGTAATACGTGGAGAACTTCAGATTTACACTGTCTCCTACTTTCTAGATCAAATTAAGACTCATATAGATCTGAGTTATGGGTTTTATCAAACCATAAATCTCTGGAAGGCATGCAGCTCTTGGGGCAGCTATTCCATTTACAACTACTGGCTATATATGAATGATCTGGCCTCTGTAGGGTTTGGTACCAGAACAACTTGAACTATTAGACAGGCACGTAGAAGAATCTGCTACATATTAGACATAAAGTTTAGGTATCATTTAAGTGACATATAATGTTCTAGATCAGGAAAGAGTTGTGTTGCTGGGATTGAACTGTGTTGCTATGAGAAGGGAACTATAAACGAAATTTAAGAAAACCTCTCCATTACCATGCTATTTTTGGATCACTAATAGTGAAATTAATTTCTTTATAGATGACCTATCACAACAGGCCCTCTCAAGCCATCCACATGCACTTAAGGGACTGATCCAAAGCCTGTTAAAATCCAGGGAATTCTTCACTGAGTGCAACTGGCAAATTTAGATCAGGTCCTAAGTCAGATATAAGTAGTGTCTTATAAAGGGGGAGTGTCACCCAGACTGACACAGTTGAATCCAAAAAGCCAAATGAAAGTAATTATTCCCCACACTGATCTCTTACTGTCGAATATATAGTATACAGCACGTGGTCCTTACAACATTCTGTTCTCACAGCTCCTGAACACAAGTTGAATACAAACAGCTGGATGGCTGCCAGGACTGATGGGACTCTTGGAATATGTGATACCTGTGGGGTTACAAGGCAAACTGTTGGTTGATGCCAGAACATGATGTCTGGCAGCCTCCTCCTTCATTTCTCCCACACACCTGATTATTCTGCACAGCATCCTGAGCGTGTTTGTTCAAATGTCTCTGCACATGAAGGGTTATCGCAAGCCTGGCTCTCCTTTCATTCTCTTATCAGAAGCTTTCATTAATCTTGTTTTAGTGACTCTATATTATAGCTACCATGACAGTGGACCATTAGAGGGACCAATAGCTACTACGATTTTCATAGTTTCCCCATTATAAGCCAGACATATTAGAAGAGTAAAAATTTTGGCCTCAGATGAAAATTCAGCATACAAGACTTCAGCTTGGTGCAGTAAAAATAATATTAAAAAAATACAAAAAAGCCTTAGTTAAAAAATTCTGATTGTTTTTTAGGAGTGACAGGAATTCAAAAGTGATAAGATTTCAGACACATGGTATGACTTTTACACCAAAATCTAAAAAGGCCTTTTTTTTCCTTAATGGAAATTGTCATATCCTTCCATTGTAGGCATAGGCTAGACTTGCCTATTCAGCAAGTTCGGCCTTAACTTTTAGGCTTTCTGGACAGAATAGATCAAGGGTGTCAAACTCATCCAGCCTCACTAAATTACAGACTCTGTAAATTTATGGCTCACAGAGTCACAGAATCAGTAGGTATGTTCATAAGTCATTTTAGATGGACCTAAAATAATTAAGTATGTAAAAATGGAGCATTTTTAACTACCTATAAAGGGAAAATTTGTTGAGAATAGTAGAAAAGCATTTAGCATGATCTGTGGCTGTTGTGTTGCCAGGGTTCTGGCAGGTGCCTTTAGAAAAACAGAACATAGTTGTATGTGTTCAGTGCCCCCTTAAGAAGACATTGTTTTGGCAGAGTGTTGCTTGTTGTGGCAGATTGTTAGTAAGAGGAGGTTTTTCACAGGAAAAATGCAACATATTTTGATTGTTTAGTGGGCAATAAGGTTTTCATGTGGGGAAAAATGGATTAGATATTAGAATCATAGAACACTAGGGTTGGAAGGGACCCCAGGAGGTCATCTAGTCCAACCCTCTGCTTAGAGCAGGACCCTCCCTAACTAGATCATCCCAGCCAAGGCTTTGTCAAGCTGGGTCTTAAAAACCTCCAAGGATGGAGATTCCACAGCCTCTCTGAATAACTGGTTCCAGTGTTTTACTACCCTACTAATGAGAGAGCGTTTCCTAATATCTAACCTAAACTTCCTCTGCTGCAACTTGAGACCATTGCTCCTTGTTCTGTCATCTGCCACCACTGAGAACAGTCAAGCTCCATCCCCTTTGGAACCCCACTTCAGGGAGTTGAAGGCTGCTATTAAACCACCCCGCACCTTCTCTTGTCCAGACTAAATAAGCCCGATTCCCTCAGCTTATCCTCAGAAGTCATGAGCCCCAGACCCTAACCATTTTCAACTGCCTTTCACTGAACTTTTTCCAACTTTTCCACATCCCAAAACTGGACACAGTACTCTGGTAGTCTATAGCATATTCCAATCAGCTTTGCAATGAACAAGAGCTGCTGGGCTAACCTTCAGCAAACAGAAACATACATTTCATGTAAAGGAGATAATATACTCAGGAGAGAAGTCAACATAGCAAAATGTACAGGTAGATCATAGTAAAACTGAGGTTTTCACCAACTTAGCTGCCACAACAGAGGTGATACAAAGATTCTTATGTAAGGAAATGTGTGTCTAATTTAGCTACCCATACCAGAAATCTGAGTGTTACTGTGTGAAGATGTCCCATGAAAATTATATTTAAATTTTAATACAAAGTTTGAGAAAGAGAAAAGTTCATTAAAACTCAAGTTAACAAAGTCCAAACCTAGATTTTTCCATCTTAATTTGACTTCAGAAAAGAGAAAGAAACTTGTAAAACAATGTGGATTGTGATTCCCAGAGCCATTGCTCAGGATGAGACTGCAGAAAGTATTTTAGGCTATTACTGCAGGTGATTGGAACAGCCTCTGTGTTCAGTTTCAGGGGTTTTTGTTTAAGGCCACTTTGATGATGACTCCTGACTCCTGCTCTCTTACAAAAATATATTACAAAAGGTATATTAATGCCCTTAGAGGGTTGAAAAATCTATTAAGAAAACAGCTATGTTTTATATTGGCCTCAGTTGAACATAAATAAATAATACTGGCAGATGAACATAAAAAGCCCGTGCCAGCAGCACAGAAAATATTAACCCCTTAAACAGAGAAGGCATTGTCTAGTTTACATTTGTTTATGCTGGCTAAGAGAAACTGGGCTCATCTACATGTGCACCAATGTGCCTTTGCTACTGCGCATTAAGTTTAGTACCTCTAATATGAAGTACTACATAAAGGTGCATTAGCCCATGCTAATGTGCAGTAGCATAGGTGAACTTTTTTGTGAAGCTTAATGTGCAGTAGTCTAATTCTACTGTGCATTAGTGCATTAGCACAGTTTTTGCTGTGATGCGCTAATGTGCAGTAGAATAGGCTACTGTGCACTATGGCATTTCATATAGATGTTCCCAGCAGGTGCATCTAGATGTTCATTAATGCACCATAGTTACTGCACATTAAGTTTAGTACTTGGATAACCAAGTACTAAATCAACGCGCAATAACTCATGCTATTGAACAGTAGCATCAGTGCTTGGAATTTTTTCAGCTGTTAACTGCACAGTAGCCTAATAAGACTGAGCAATAGCATGCCAGGCAAAAACTGTGTGAATACACTACTGCACAGTAGTATTAGGCTACTGTGCAATTAGTGTCTTGTGTAGCCACATCCACTCTGTACTACCTGAGATATAGCATACTATAGTTAGAGAGGTGATTATGAATCTCAGATGTATTTTGTTTAATATAGCATATCTGACATAGAAATGACTGACAATGGTCATCATTGATTGGGCAACAGTTTACCAGATTTCAGTGAGGCTTGAGTTTAGGTATCTAAGTATTAATCCTTATTATCCACAGTTCAATATGACTGGCAGAAGATAGCATGAATTCACTATGAAAAGGTTGCAGAGTCAGATTCTCATCCACAATTAGCATTGTTAGATTACAGAATAGCAACAGCAAATCATGGTTTATCACCTGCTGATATGTTTTACAACATAAAACTAAAACTAAGAATGCTTGTACTGTCAGAAGCTGATGTCAGAGCCACTGGGGCATTGCATAAGCACAAAAGGGCATATAAGACAAAAGGAAAACAATCATTACTTCATTAAAATGGCATTATGTCTCTAATGGGAACAATAGTCACAAATAAGAGATTGTCCCATGGCCAAGTAAGACTGCAACCCAAGAGGATACATACTGCGTGGGACTAAGTGACATCATCTTCAAATTCCAAACGAAAGGAATGTACTTTCCAAAGGAAACGAGTGGTACTAAGAGCAATTTTGCCCAAGAGGTTCTTAGACCAGTGATAGTAGCAGCAGATTGAGACAATAAAGTCCCAGAACACAGAACAGCCAGAACAAGTAGACTTGCCATGTTTAATAATCCTGGCTCTGACATTCCAGAGGAGCCCTGCAGTCAAAATCTAGTTTCTAGTTTGTGATTGATTATATATGTTGAATCAATAATATCAACTGGGCTCATAAGTTATTACCCCTACAAAATTAAATAAAAAATAACAGAATCAGCCCAGAACAACATGCCTACACCACAGCAGCAGCATGCTCCAGTTGGGACATTCCTAAACATGTCCCACCTACCCAACACATTGTCAATATAAAAATACATGAGTGAAGACACTCTGGAGTATCCTCCTGTAGTGTGCTCTTAAAACCCCAGTCTCTGGCATGCTTTAGAGCAGTCAGTGCATACTTCTAGGTTTGTAGCATGCATGCAAAAATGGATGGGTGGGGCATGATCAGGACCATTGGTGTTTAGACAGTATTTCGAAGAATGAGTTACTTTGATAAGAAT